CCACACACACACACACACACACACACACACACACACACACTCACTTTCTTCTGCTATTCTTCCATTTCTCTCTAATATAGCCCAGGCCATGTCCAGTCTGTTTTCTTTTCTCTCTGCTGCTCTGGGCTCTTCCAGATGCCTATGGATTTTTTCTCTCTTATGCACAATAAAAAACCTTTCCCTTAATCATACCATGGAATGGTCAGGTAGGCACTTTCTTTACTGTGTGTGCCCCTCACATACAGTTAAACTAGTGATTTCACTCCTGTCCTTCTGTGACATCTGAACACAGAGACTGCACACTTCTATGGTAGTGTTTGTTATATGATCTGAGTTGGGAACATCAGCCACAGGTTCGAATGTTTGAACCCAGCTATTCTGGGAGGCTGAGACTTCAGAAGGTGGAGTCCAACTAAAGGAAGTGGGTTGCTGGGTGGAGGGCCTTGGCTAATCGTCCTGCCCCTTCTCTGTCCCCAGATCTGTCCAGATGTGAGCAGGCAGCCCTCGCCTTGCCACCAAGGCTGGGCCATAATGGGCTGAGTATCCAAGCTGTGGGGCCAAAGAAGCTTTTCCTCCCTTCAATTTGTCAGTGTGATGAGAAAAGAAACCCAGGTAGCATTCAAGTCCAGAAAGCAGCTGTTCTAAAGAATTTAAAGATGTTCCCTGCCACTGGGGATGAAGGGAGCAGGGTAAGGATGAGGTAGAGGGTTGACATTCATAAATAACAATAACTTCATATACACTGTGACTGTTGAGCAAGCACGGGTCTTGACTACAGAGACAAAGGAAGCAGTCAGTGGCTTTCTTTGCATTCACTCTGCTATTTATACACAGGAGCCCTTTTGTCCTCCTGGAGTTGAGCTGCCACGCTTTTGGGATGATCGTGACCCTGACAATGACCAGACTCTGCAAACAGTTGGAATGTCTTCATTGTTCCTCTGTGAGGGCTATCATGGTGCTGTGTCAGAAGGCACCAAGTGCCCTGGTCTGACCTCGCAGCATGGTGCAGGAGGGGAGGGGAGTCTGTGGGAGGGGAACAGACACAGGTGAGGAGCAGTGAAGCTATCATTACCCACTCTGGCCTCCCTCCTCCTAGGACTTGGGGTGGCTCTCCTCTTACACCTCCTGTACAGAGGGGCCAGGCTTCACTTGAGGTGGTGTGGCATGCATTTAAAGTGTGAATACCATACAAAGTTAGAACCGCAGAAGGGAAGCCGTCTCTTTATCACATAGGGCAACACAATGATATGACACGCCCGAGGGAGAGCAGCAGAGGGTCTCTGAGTAAGTTCCAGGGCAAAGCTTGTCTCTCCCATAACATACCTCTTTACCATATGAGGGTAAAGGGTAAAGTTTACTTTCAAACTCACCTCAGAAAAGGGTTACAGATGACATTCCCATTCTATTGTACTGGTCAAGGGCAACCATGGAAGATAGATAGCTACTGAGGTAGAAAAATGTGGCCCGCGATCAGCGTGGCTATAGGTAAGAAGGTAAGGAGGAGGATCCGGCAGAGACAGCGCTGGAAAGCTGCCTGGACTGAGCCTACTTTCGAGCTGTCAGTTGCTGGTGGTTTCTTGTCCCGCCAGATCCAGCTGTCCTTCTCAGCCCCAAATAAGCACACAGAGGCTATATTAATTATTAAACTATTGGCTGGTGGCTAGGGCTTCTTTTACTGGCTAGCTCTGTCTTAATTATTAACCCATAACTACTAATCTATGTATTTCTATATGGCCTTATCTTACGGGAGAATGCCTGGCGCATCCTATCTTCCCGGTCTCTCCATGGCATCTCCTCATGGTCTCTCTCCATCTCCCTTTCCCAGAATTCTCCAGTCTCCTACCCATGCCTATCTTCCTACCTCTATTGGCCAAACAGTGTTATATTCATCAACCAATAAGAGAAACATATACACAGAAGAACACCCCCCACCAGCTGACCTCACACATGGGACCTTGGCAGCACATTTTGGAGCCTCAACTATCAAGGGGCCCAATAAACACCATCCAGAAGGGCTGTTATGGGCTAGAAAGACTGAGTCCCTATTTTCCTGAGAGGAGAATTTCTATGAATTGAGGAAACGTGAATGGGAAAGTGCTGGGTGCAAAGAACGGGAACTAAATAGACACAAGGCAGGGAAAGGGAAGAAAAAAGACCACTCGCTATTAAATGCTGTCTTCATCCTCCAGGCTTACTCCAATTTTGATATTCACTGTGTTAAAACACACATGTTTATTTCATCAGGTTTTGTAAGGGACATTCTAGAAATGTGTCACAATAACATGATAACCTATTATTTGAATGAGCAAAATGCAAAAATAATTTCTAGCAATCTGGAATCGTGTCTAGTTCAATTGTATGGGTCTATGGTAGAACAATTTTTGGCTGTAGGGTTGGTTGGCTAATTTGTGCTTCAAGGATAAAGTTGTGACAGATCACATGGGCAGCAAAGCTTCTAATACTTTCTTCCTTAGCAACAGCAAGGTGTGCCTTCTTTGGTCTGTCTGTGTGTGGGGGGGGGGGGGGGGGCTAGGGGAGTGTGGGGTTGTCCACTCAACTGCTCTAAATCTGTTCTTAACAAGGTTGGGATATCCACACGCAGACAACTACTTTCCAACAGTTGCTCTTACTCTAGCCTGCCTCCTTGTTGAGAATATGGGATCTTACTCAGAGACACTAGATGGGAGTCTCTTCACCCCAGGTGCCTACTCTCCAGGGAGGAGAAAGATGAGAATCGTGATGTGGACTTTAAAGGGGGAAAGCAAGGCTAGGAACTGACACTAACGGAAGTCCCAGGAATGAATGCATCAGGCTCTTCAGGTAAGGGGCTTCAGAGGCTTCCTTCCCACAATAGAGGCCTCCTCAAGCCCTCATTGCAGTTACCCCCACACAAAAGTGCTCCAGCTACAACTTCATCTTCCTAAGGATCCCAGGACTAGGTTTGTTTTCCAGGTCTCAGAGCTCAGCCTGTGTTTGGTCCTGATCTCGAGGAGATCATTAGGAGACTGAGCTAAAGACACAGATAGGCACAGACCTATGGCCTCTGCCAGAAAAGATCTCTGTCACTGTGAGGCAGTCAGCCAAGCCAAGCTAGGTGACCATGTTTCCTCCTCCTCCTCTTCCTCCTCCTCCTTCTCCTCCTCCTCCTCCTCCTTCTTCTCCTCCTCTGTTTATCCAGTTTTCCTTTTACAGGATGCTGCAAGGCTATAAAAGTCATTGAATGCTCTTTAAAATCTCAAGAAATCCTGTGAGAATGACATAAGGAACACATATCAAACACATTGCTTCCGAAACCCACTGGGCAGCATTTCCTGTCGCTCAGTGAGGCTATTTTAGAGGACAGGCCATAGGAAGGAATCTATTAAGAGGAGGCCCAGTGGAAAGAAGCCTCCTAAACACACCATGTTCAGACAAGGTGCTTTTCTAACGCTGTAAAGTTTGTATCAAAGTCATAAAGAAAAGCTCCAGGGCATGTTTAGCCCAGGTGAGAGGCATTTCATCAATGTCTGTCAATTTCCCATCAATCAGTATTTTCTAGTTTCTTCTACCTTTGATCATTTTTAAATGATTGAACTTAATAATTTTGTTCAGTTTCATATTTTTTTCTGACTGGAAAAGAAACCATCAAATTTAATATCATTAAGTGGATATGGAGTCTCAATCAGACCTTAAATATTTGTAAGTGTATTTTCATTTTTTATGACATTGTATCAATTAAATTCCTTCAAATATTAGCCAACTATACCAGGAGGAAATTTTTATTCTTACAAAACATCTGGACATGATCAAAGAAATTACACACAGCTGGAGAGATGGCTCAGTGGCTAAGAACAATTGCTCTTCTGCCAGAGGAGTGGAGTCTGGCTTCCAGCACCCAGTCAGCCAGCTCACAACCACCTGTAACTCCAGCTCCAGGGGATCAGACACCTTTCTCTAGCCACCACAGGCATCTATACACATGTGGCATGCCCACATAGAGACACACGCATATATGCATAATTAAAAATAAATCTTTTAAATAAAGACAGGATAAAATTAAGAAGGGCATGGTCTATGAGACCTGCTAAAGACTTTTAAATATATATTATCTATTAGGAAAAATTAATTTTCAAACTTTTGTAAGTCAGTAACATGTGATTTTGACCCAGACCCCATTACGAAAAGGAGCAGTAGTAAGAGAGACATATGTCTTCGATATGAGAATCTATTTGCTCTTAGAGATTACCTTGAAGGCTGCCATGCAGTGTAGACTCAGTAAGGCCATCACCACCGCCAGAAGGATGGTAGCAAGGTTCCTCACATCCCATATGGTCTCCACCAGAGGGATACTGCCCACTTGCCAGTCGTAGCACAGGGTGATAGGTGCCAGCAGAAGCCACACATTGAAGGCAAGGAGGTAGGAATAGGTCAGGAACCTATGAAGAGAACAGTTGTGAAATATACATTCCCACATTTGGCAAACACTTGCTTACCACAGTTCTAGGAAACAGTATGTCTGTTCTGTCATCGTTTCAGTTAGAGGAAGATAGGGAAAGACATCAAACTATCTATTAAACTGATCACCTGGGAACTTATCTCTCAGTTCCTAGCCACTGTGTTGGGTGCTGACCTCAACAGAAAGAAAAAAAAAAAAAAAGACACAGTTCCCAAGGAAGATATTTAAATTGA